TTCCAGCCGATGTCCATGGACTGAAATAATCAAAGTTTTGGGTTATTTTGCTGCTTGTTGTCGCCTCAAGGTCGGAAATGGTGAAAGAGTAAGATTTTGGGAAGATGTGTGGCTGGGAGATACGACTTTGGGGGAGAGGTTCCCTCGCCTTTTCCGACTATCTCGTAAACAAAATGCCAAAATCGCAGACATCTCTATAGACAGGAATGCCCTTCCACTAAGCTGGGACTTTGGGTTCCGTAGAAACCTAAGGGATGAGGAAATAGAGGAACTATCTGAGCTACTTTTCAGATTGGAACAGGTCGTGTTGGTTCTTAGTAGATGCGACACCAGAGTTTGGAACTTAGAGCCCTCAGGAGTATTCTCCTGTACTTCTTTTACTAGGCACCTGATGGTAAATCCCCATCCAAATCTCTGCTTCCCTCCAGCTGTAATCTGGAAATCTAAAGCTCCCCCTAAGGTAAAAGTACTAGTTTGGCTAATCGCTCAAGGCAGAATTAACACATGCGACTTGGTCCAAAGGAAAAGACCCAGCTGGTATTTCTCTCCTAATTGGTGTGTCCTGTGCAAAAAAGAAAATGAATCTGTGGATCACCTCTTTGTGCTATGTCCCTTTGCCTCGTCCCTGTGGGCTAAGCTATCCCGGGAGACGGGGATAACTTGGGGAAACTTTGCAACCTGTAGTGAGGTGTTGGAAGCCAGGTTCAGATTCTTTGGTGGGAGGAGGAAGGGTTTAGTGTTGGGAAACTGTGCCATGATGGCAATTTTCTGGCAAATATGGGGGGAAAGGAATAGGAGAATTTTTGAGAATGTGATGGGGGACGAGGTAGAGATGATATGGGATCGTATCCGAGTCTGGGCATCTCTTTGGGCCTCTGTTTCTGTAGAATTTAAGGATATCAGCTTTCAGCTTATCCACCTAGATTGGAAAGCAGTAGTGTTGTAGTGCAGAGCTTTTTCTTTCTGTTTTGTAAGATGGCCTCCTTGGCCATCTCGTGTTTTTCGCTCTTCCTATTTGAATAATACTGTTTCTTTTCAAAAAAAAAAATAAACAGCTGTATGCATTTCCGGTCAATCCATACAGTACTCACTTTCAAATGCAGTATTGTGACAGAAACATCTCTCTAATGGTTAGTCTTTCACTTCTCCACTAATTGTATCAATGTACTGCCTAAAGCAATAATGTAATCTCAATAAAAACTCTACCACTTCAGAAATGTGCTAATGATATTATGACCTCTCATTTACAATGGTGGCCCTAAACTGTGAAAAACCAAACAAACCATATTCACCCTAAAGAACGTAAATAAACAAATTCCTTTGTTTTTGTTTCCGGTAATCATTGGTTGTCAATTTGATTCTAGATTGAATCTTCCATAAATTCCCACAAAAAAATAACTTAACCAATCAGCATTCTAGACTATGTAACAAGAATTCAAAATCTGATAAAATCCTCACCCTAAGTCATACATCAAGCAAACAACGTTATGAATTCATGTGGGTCTTTGGGGAGCCCTGATAGAATAATGACAGTAGACCTGAGAGAGATATGGTAGTGTAAAAATCTGAGCCAATAGGAACCCAAAGTTTGACAAATAATGTAATCCAACCATCTGGTTTAATTATATTTTTCATGTATTAAATGGAAAGGCTAATGCCATGGTCTTAGCTCTTGAATATCATGGTGTGACAATGTTTCAGGTCAGACATATACCTAACTTGCCTTTCACATTACTAACGTATATCTTCTTTTTTCCACAAGAAACAACTTCTATTACAAACAAAACCAGTACAACACTATGTGGACAAGTGGTCAAACATCTAAACTACAACTATATGAATCAAACAGCCCTACCAAACACTAAGTGGAACTTTTAGACAGATTAAGAATAACAGAAGCTAAAAGGGTGGGATTGAAGCGACTTAGAACAACTTAATCATCGCTTCCAATCCAGGAATTTGAGACGATTAAGGACAGAATTAGAATAAGCAACTCTAATCCTCTTGACATATCGGTTGAAGTTTGTTGGTACATGAACAGAGAAGCTTTTACGAGTTTAAACATTCTTCTTTAAGAATTCATTGCTCACTTTTTAAAGAGGATGTTTAAGCAGACAAAGAAATCATCTTAGCTTTCTTTTTTTGCTATGTAAGATTCTTTTTCTTTCAAATTATGTTTTTAAACTTTCTATGTATACAGTTTGACTACATTGGTTACCACCCCTAAGTGTTCTGTTAATGTAATTTCTCTAAGCACCAAAAAGAAGTTATTGAAGCTCATTTTTTCAAGAATAACATTAGGAAATAAAAATTAATAATATACAAAAGTAACAAAGGGGTTTCCTTACCGACATGCAATGTAAAGACATGAAGCCAGTACTTGCTCTGATTTACGCCCCCTGGTGAAATTCCGGTCTACTGCAATCTTTAAAAGGCAAAGCAGATCACAGATTAAGATGTTCATAAGTTCTCTATAACTAGCAACAATGAAGCTTAATTATTACAAGTCAACATACTCTAAAAAAGCGCTTAGCAATGTCAACAATTTCTTCATTTTCTCCCATATCTAAAGCATTTCTCATGCATCTTAATTCGTATTCAGCTGCAAAATGAAATAGAGAATAAATGAGCAGATTAATAAGGCAAATCATATTTTATCTTCAGTAATTTTTTACCATTAATTTTTACATAACCTTGATAAAAATTGGCCACGTTAAAGTTTATTAAAATTTCAAAGTGGAAGTGAAAGTTAATCATCTTAGTTTGTGGAAGTTGACACACTCTTCACATCAATAAAAATAATCAACAGCAACAAAATGTGCTAAGTTTAAAAGAAAATCGCAAAGCAGTGATATAGACTGACTCCAGTCTTTGCTCTGGAATATGACCTGCCTTGGTTACTGGTAGGTGATTTCAACCAAAATAGTAAATTCAATGAACTCAAGGGGCTCAAGTACCATTGTATTAAATGCAATAAGAAAATTAAGTCTGTAGACAAATGCAAAATAGTTGATCTCCCTTCTATGCTTGTTCTCGGTTGTAGAGTCTGTGAATGATTGGATAAAGCACACATACAATTGAAAAATGCAACCTAAAGGTCGTCTTCTCGTTGATTTGACCAGAAATGCTAATATATGATCCCCGCAACCTTTCTATGTTCAAGTTTCATGTCTGCTCCAAGTCTCCAAGCAGACTGTCTAAAGAAAATCATGATCTTTATGCAATAATTTAACCTCACACCTATAGAGAAAATTCTAGCTGCCCACCCACCACGCAGAAGTTAGCATTCTTTGAACCCAAAAAAAAAAAAAAGATTCTTCTTTATTTTAAAAAGTACCAGAAAAATGGAACTCATCGATTATAGAAGTATTTATATCTCCCAGAAATCATAGGCTAATAGTGCATGGGGGGTTAGGAAAGCTTCAACAAAACAAACAACGGAAAAGCCAAACCTTCGAAAAGAAAAAGCCGAACAAACCATACCATTCTCGAATATCCTTGCACGAGAAGCTGAGTCATCACTCTGAATGCTACGTACATTTCTTCCAGCCAATTGGCTCTGCAAACCCACAACCAAAAACCATTAAACAGAATATAAAGCCAATAATAGCTTGCAATTGGTGTCAAGTATAAACAGAACCAGAATGAGAACCCAGAAGCAGAAGAAGAAAACCCCAATACCTGGCCGGCCGCATTTTTAACGAATGTGGGTTCATCAGAGTAAAGGTCATACTCTAAAACCTTCCCACACCCAGAACACGATCTACAAACAATACAAAATGAAATCACAATCAAATTCATATTAACAACATGAAACTCCATCATTAAAATAAATAAATAAAATTTGATACTCACATTCTACCACCATCGTTAATTCCACTGACTTTCTTTCTACAGTGAGAACAAAACGGCATCCTCGAAAGCCAAGAGCTATTTGTCAATTGTGGGTTCTAGTTGTAGAGAAGCAGAAGGCGGGACGGAGAAGACCAGAATTTGCAGGGACCGGTCGGATAGAAATTTCCCGCGAGTTCAGAGAAGCAGCGAGCTGAACAGTCGGGGAGGAGGGAAGGGACACGTGGCAGTGTACAGATTGGGGAGATGGACTGCAGAAGTTGTTGATGTTTCTCCGGAAGGTGAGACGATGTCGTCGTTGGAGGAGGATCGCCGTGTGGAGGCTGCGGACAAGAAAACTGCCTAGAGGTCGTGCTTGGTGTTGTGCTCGGCTTGCTGGGAACAAAGAAATAATTTATTTTGGAGCTGGGCCTTTTTTAGAGTTGGGCCTATCTCTTTCTTTTTTCTTTCTTTGGTCGAAAGTTGGGCCTTTCTATTGGGGATCAAAGAAATAAATTTATTTTACAAAATATTAAACGATATTTCTAAAGCTATATATAATATTGACTCAGTAATTTCTCATACATTATTGACAGATTTGTATTAAAAATGTAAAAAGTTATGGTTGGAACTAGGGTCTTAACTAGAGAATTCCCCTTAAAGAAAACAACAGTAAACCTGCATTACAAACATTGTGAGACATTTCAGTCTATATCCAGTGCAGTCATTAGAACATTGAGAAAATCTTTAATTTTCACAAAATTAATTTTGATGGAATAACATGATCTGTTTTGCACCCTGAGGTTTGCGTTACAAGTTACGACAAGCTCTCCATTGGGCATTTCATCTTAATCTCGTATTGAAATTGAGGGTGATTCCCAATGATATGTATACAAATGATCAAATATAAAAGCAAAATTTCTTGGAAGAGGAGTACTATTATCTAAGATAACTATCTAATTACACTATTACTCATGTTATCAATAAGTAAATATAGTAGCCGATAATTTAGTAAAAAATATATTTATATTACTCTTTAATTTTAGTGTTAAAATGTTATTATGCGTGTCATAGTGTTTAGTGACATCAATCTCATTTCATGGAAGTCTTTTCCGTGGCAATAAAAGAGATATTTAAAATATAAATAATTTAAAAAAAAAAATAGTTGTACTCCAGTTGTGACCCTAGCTAACCAGCAGCGGGAAAATACAAGCAGGAGAGGAGAGGAGACGGTTAACTAACTGGTAAGAAACTAGCAACCCTAATTGCCGATTGCTTAAATACACAATTGCAGTTGCAGAGAGTTAGCCGTTGGAACTAGCAAGCAAGCACCACCAAACTGCAAATGGCGAGCGGGAAAGCGAAGAACCCTTCAAAGCTGTCTCTCAGAAACCCTAAGAATAAGGGTAAGCCGCTTGGCCCCAACAACACCAAGAGGAAGAAGGAGAAGAAGAAGAAGCAACGGGTCAACAATCAAAACCCAGTCGAAGACAAAGCTAGCAATCAAAACACCCAAAACAGCAACAACAACAACAGTTTGAGCAATGCTACGAAGGCACAACCGGCATCGGCTTCAGCCCAGCTCAGCTTCTTTCTGGATCAATTTCAATCTGGCAATGGCGTTAAGATTTCTTCTCTCGAGTTGGAGTCCGTCAATGGTACCATTTCTTTCTTTATTTTCATTTGGGTACGTTTTTCATATTATTATGTAATTATGTACTCTGTTTGGTTGGTGAGAAAATTTGGTACTGTATTAGCCACAACCTATAAAAAAAGGGTACTTGGAGAATGTAATGTTACAGGTGGCGATAAATTTTGTGAATATATAATAGGTTCGTTGTGACAGTAAATTGTTTATGCTGTCTGATATCACTTTTTTTTTCAAATTTATATTCTTTAGAGAAAAATGTGAGGTAATCAAGGTGTTTGAACTTGCATTTTAAGTAAACGCATAGCAGATGAGATGGAAAATTTGTACTGTAATTTCTTTCTCTGGGAGTTATTCCCCCTAAAAATTCCAATCAGATGAGAGGAGTTTTCTTCCTAAGGGCAGGTAAATGATTCAACTATGCCACAAATCAAGGATAAGATGTGGTAGTTCGACCTATTTGTGCCATTAGTAGAAGCTACCTTTCAAAATCCAGTCAAGTTAGTTTAGTATTGGCATTGACTTTCTATTCAGCATTAAACTTTTGCATCTGTGGAATGCTATGGATTAGGATTACTTTGAAGCAGTCATGCAAAGTTATGAAAAATGAAAATAAAAAGCCCTCACCTGATGAAAGAACAAAAATCTTTTTTTCTAATCTATAAATTTTGCAGACAAGTGTATTCTGGATCTGTCTGAAAGCTTGGATCAAGATGTCAGCCTCTTGGGGAAACATGTGATGGCAGCTTTTGGTCCATCGTGGAAAGAAGAACTTTGTGAAAAGCATCTCTTGGATGGAAAAATTGATCCTGGGAGTCCGGCAATTCTTATTATTAGTACATCTGCCCTGAGGTCAATAGAACTTCTAAGGTGAATTTCATTCTAGCAGTACCATAACTTGAACCATTTGCAAATTTGATATTGCTAAACCCCTTAAAATTAATGTTCAGCAGAAATGTCTCATTAACACTAGACATTTGCATAATTGGTACATGCATCTCAATCTCAACAATGTATTCTCTTCCGACAGGGGCTTGCGGTCGTTGACTAAAGAATGCCATGCAGCAAAGCTGTTCTCTAAGCATATGAAGGTTGAAGAACAGGTACTTTACTTATTTCTCCAAGATGTTGGGCATTCCTATGTGCATTATATCTGTCAAAGGGACGAGGAATGCTGCATACATTTATTACTATTTACTAGGCTCACTAGAATCTCTTTGGTTATAAAACTTATAATGCAGCATGTTGAGCATACCTATGTACAATGTTTATCTACTATAAAAAAAAAATTGTGCTGGTTGTGGAGTTTGGGAAATGTTCATCTCTCTTCTTAGCCTATTAGCTTTATTTTGTCATATACATGTTTACCTTTTCTTTAATCCCCTTTATGCTTTATGCAGGTATCCTTGTTAAAGAACCGCGTTAATATCGCTAGTGGTACGCCAAACAGGTAGTCATCATAATCTTCTGTAAATCCAGTAACCATTTCTTTACTTACGTTACCCTTCAATTGATGCTTGTACTTGTATGCTATTTTTAGGGTATATCAATTCAACAAGCACGGTGCAATGTTATTCTGTTCTTTAACTAACATGGGGTTGTTTTATTATTTGGTGTTAGTTGTGTAGTTTGGGCTATGTATATAAGTTATAAAATAATTTGTTATATGATGACTTCTACATGTTAATTGATAAGATATGCTTTGGAACGGAAAAAATTAAAGGGCCAAGCCACCAAGAGGACATGATATAGCATGAAAACTTTATAATTTAATTATGAATTGTGAAGTCAACATAACTGCCTACGCAGCCAATTAGTAATGACTGAGATTTCATTTTAAAACCTATTGATGTAGCAGCCTTAACTTGTTTAAAGGAAAATATCCCTTATGAGTTATGGGCAAGATTATGCATCATATAAGATTTCTTGGTCCTATGGAGTGTGCCCTTGATGGTTCTAATTATCTTTTAGGGTTTCTATAGATGTTTTGACTCTAAGAGCTATGGTTAATTATTTTCCAAGGGTTTATCTTTTATTTGTATAGTGAACGAATATTGTTGATTAAAAATTACGTCATACACACCTTTGAATCATGGTAGCCTTCGCCCTAATCTGAGTCCCATAGTTTCCTAGAAACCATTTCGTATTCTACCGACTCCCTAAATCTTCCCATTCTGGGTAAATGAAGTTTAGAGAAAGACAATTTTAGGATTTTTCCGCTACCCTACATTATTATGGGGAAAAAATTAGGAAAAAAGAGAGTCTACAATTAGTATGGTTCTTTATGGCAGGACTGAGACTCCTTAACACCAGATTTCTGTACTATATGGTTACTTTTTTTAAGGTTGTTGGATGCTAAAATTATATTTTGCTTTATTGCAAAAAAAAATGAGGAAAATTTAGGACAAACTTCTGCTTTATTTATGCTCATGCTTTGTTTCTCTTTTAATTCATTTTGAGTTCACAAGGTTACAGACTTGCAGTGTCATATGGCATGTCCTTTATTTTTCCTGTCTGTATAAGTTTGTTTGTTTGAATTGAATAATTTTGTTCTGTATTTAACTCATCTATTCCAGGATAAAGAAGCTAATTGACATTGAGGCATTGGGGCTGTCTCGTTTATCAGTGATTGTACTTGACACGCACCCAGATGTCAAGGGGTATTCCCTCTTTACACTTCCACAAGTCAGGTAAGATGATGAGTTATCTCTCGCCAGTTTACCATTTGCTTTGTCTTGGTTTTGGTGCGTACTGCTTTTATCTGTTTTTTTCCCCTTCTTCAACAATACACAAATACAACCCTCCTCCCTCTTTAGCCCTAATGACAGGGTGAAGTGGTGAACCTTCCCTAGGGCTTATACCTTATTTCTCAATAAATTCTTTGCAATCATATTATGCTCAAATCCCTGTTGATGTTGAATGATTAATAGAGTTTTAAAAAATTATATATTAATCGTCGTATTTGCTTTTTCTCCAAGTACACTGGCCAGAATGGGATGTGATAGTTCCAAAAGCATAGAGAAGCTTCTGATTGTTTCCTCTCTTTTTTCATGTCGTTGTGGTGTATTTTGAATGGATAAACTGTCGACTTTATGCCTCACATTCATTTTATTTGGCAGAGATGAATTCTGGGACTTATATAAGAGCTATTTTCATGATCGTCTACTCCAAGGTTCCTTGCGTCTTGGTTTGTACGGTCCTTTATCATCTGGGAATGAGCTTAAAGGGAAAAAGAGGAGCCCTATTGAATAATGATTCATTTTTCGTACAAATTTTGAGCTGAGTATGTCATGTATCCTTCTAGCTTTTGTATCCAGCTGATAAGATAATGGCGTTTTATGTCCACATTTTCTAGTTCTTCAATCAACGCGAGTATGTAAGATGTACTAATATCACTATCTTTGAGAGTCGAAATACCATATTAAGGTATGATTTTTTTGGGGGCGAAGACTACAACACACCATAAGCTCCTGAACCAAAACGATTGTGCAATATGTGATAGAGATTTCTCTCTTGTTCTTTTAAAACTTTTAATATTCCATTCGTGCACCTTAGAGACAATCTAACCTTTTAAAATATTGCAGCCATACAATTATTTAAACCCATTAGAAATTCACCAATGTGTTCGGATGAGGAAATTTAAAAGTACTAAGGAATTCATAAATGACAGAATATAAAATAACGGAAATTAATGTTCTAGAATTTGTAAAATTTCTTGTTTAGTAAATGGATTTAAACACGGAATATAAAGTTTGTCATCTTGGAGTTTTAGAAATGACGACTATTTAGATAGAATTTAAAGTTGGGACACGTGTCAAGAGGAAATTTTGATTTATGTAATCATGGTTATGCTTATGAACACGTGTTAAGTATTGAGAAGGATGATGAGCATACGCCTTGAGTTAAAGGTGGTGACCAAAAATGTTCCTAAGTAAATAAGGGGACAAATGATCACATTGTCTTAAACTACGAGATAGGGAGAAGAACATTTTCTGCTTTCCATTAAAATAAAGAGAGTAATAGAAGAAATACATTTTAAAATCCAATTGATCCAAGTAGGATGAAAACCGAAGATAAACAAAGACGTATAGTTCCAATCAATTCTATCGTTAGCCTTTTCCAAATCTAATTTTATAGACATTTACGACTTTTCCTTGAGAAAGAAGAAAGCAATTCATGACTTATAAGTATATTATCCTCAAGAAGACGACTTGGAAAAGTGGTACAAAAGCATCATGATTTTGAGAAATAAATTTATAAAGAAGTGGCTCTCATATGTTTATAAGAATTTTAGTAAGAATTTTTATAACATTACAAAGATTAATAGGCCGACAGTGTTGAACCTTTTCTTGATAATTATTTTGTAAAGCAAAAGGTATGATTAAGGCCCCGTTTGGGATTGCTTTTTTTGGCCAAAAACCTGCTTAACTTTAAAGTTAAGCGGTTTAAGGTGTTTGGTTAAAATAAAATATCCTGCTTATTTTGAAAGCAATGGTCTTTTGACAGCAGCTTTTAAAAGCAACCTCGGGGTTGCTTTTTAAAGCTGCTTTCAATTGAAGCAGCACGCTCCCTTTAATGAAAATTTCACAATTCCACAAATACCCTTATTAGGTTAGAAATCTATCCTCATGTATTTCTCTCAAATCTGCAGACACCAAAGTTCATCTTCACGTAGCCTCCCAAGTTTCTTCCCATAGCCTCCCAAGTTTGGAGACAACCATTCGCTCAATCTCTCTCAATCTCTTTCACAAGGTAGATTATTCAATCTCTTCAATTTCTCAAACTTTTTATATACGTGCTACTCTTCTGTTTTTTCTTTTTTTCTTTTCCTACTGGTTGTCCATGGTTTCTACTGGTTTTATATACGTCCATGGTTTTATATATGTCCAGATTTTTTATACTGGTTGTCCATGGTTTCTTCAAGCATGAAGATGTCCATGCCAGGAAGTTTTCGTGTGGACACCATGGTTGTCTACTGGTTGAGTCGTGATGGGTCCACAATGCATATCTCCTCTAACTTGATTAATCCAAACTGAAAAATGGGTAGTGCTTGATTGTCTTGTTATCTATAGTCATTTACTTCTCCCTAGTATGCCTTGCTTCAGGTTGTGAATGCAGCAGTAAGACATCGTACTTCGTTTCTGGAATTAAGTTGCAACTTTCTGTCTTGTTATTTGACAAATAACAAGACCTGATGAGGCTTTGTTTGCAAAGGCCTCTGAAAAGTGCCTTTTTATTGAAAAATAAATAAACTTGATATCATCACCCAACGACAAGCTCCAATTTTCTTTTAATTCCCTTTATGATAAACTAGTGTTGCTGCAAACTTTTATTTCTTTGACTTCCATTAATATTTTGTGAATAAATATCAAAATTGCAGACCCAAAAAATAAGGGAAAAATATATGGGAGTGTGTTTGAATCCTTCATCTGGTGTACTTCCAACTCATGATTCATCCGAATGTGATGGTATTCTACTTGACAGTGGTGAAGATTCTGATGATCCCGTATAGAGTTGCTACAAAAGTGGGGAAGGTAGGAGGTGCTGTTAAATTGTCACAACAAATTGAGCGGGTGGTTGATGTAATGGAGAATAGGAGTACAACTTCAGTGATGATGAAAGGGTCCCAAGGTAGCAGCATTGCTGAAGTGATGAAAGCAGTTTCGTTTTTGCCTGGTGCAGGGCATGGGAGCCATTTGTGGTTGTTTGCAACTCGGTTATTCCTAAATCAAGAGAAAAGAGAAATGTTCACAACTATGGAAGATCCTAACATCAAGCTTCAATGGCTGAACTATGAGCTTTCTGAAAAATAAGCTAACTGCACTTTTATTATGATCAACCTTTCAATGTCTAACTGCACTTTTATTCTGGTGAAACTGTGAGTAGATACTTTGGTAAATTACTTGATATTGTATGCCTTATGGCCGTTGATATCATAAAACCATTGGATCTTGAGTTTAAGGGAGTCCCCGAAGAGATATTGAGAGATTCAAGATATATGCCCCATTTTAAGGTAAAAATTGGATACAACAATTTATCGTTTGTTTTATGAACAAAGTAATATTTATTGAAATGTTTCTCTTTTTGTTTGCAGGATTGCATTAGTGCTATAGATGGAGTACATGTTAAAGCCTCAGTACCTCCTGAAGATCAAGTACCATATATTGGCAGGAAAGGAATACTGACTCAAAACATAATGGCTG